TTGTAATATAAATTATTTATCATAAATTTAAAATATAATATATATGTTTAAAAATATCATTTTATATAAATTTTAATATAATTTATATATTTAATATAAAAAATATATTTTATATTTTTTTATAAAATATAATTTATATATTCAAATATAATATTCATTTATATATAATTTATTATAATTTTAATTATATACAATAAACATGTGCATCCTAAAATACTGATATTTATATTCATTCACTATTAAAAAAGATTAACTTGGTATTGTATCGTAGCATTTTCCAAATTGTATATAGTCAAACAATTTATTTTCGAAATTATTTAAGCATTAACTATTGAAAATTTTTTAAAACATGGAGAAACATTGATATGATAAGTAAAGTTTCAATTTCAATTTCTAATTGAATGAGAAATATTACAATTATAATGATTATAAAATTCAACTTATCTAGAAAAAACACATCTAATTGAATATATTATATTAAGATATAAATTTTAAGTCAATAATATTAAAATAATGAAATAATACCTTCTTTTTCGTGTCAAAAAAATCCCATATAAAAAATAATACTTTAAAATAAGTAAAAAATAAATTAAATACTCAATATAAAACTCATGTAATTTGACGAGGATGAGAAAATATCCAGAAATCAATCCCACCAAAATAAATATCTAAAAAAATATTTTCCTTAAATAGGAAAAACTTAAATTTATTATTTACAATATAAGAAATTTTTTTTAAAAAAAAGTACAAATACTCAAATAGATGTCCCAATGATTGGATAACGAGAAAGGTTGGTCCCGTACGGTAGTGGGGCCCACGGTGAAAACCCCTGCACCTGCTGCTGCGCCTAATGCCAATGCCATTTTGTGTTGCTTAGTCTCCTTTCTTCCCCCTCATCCAAGGACACTTCCTCTCCCACCACCAAACAACAATTCCGTGACATAACAACTTCAACATTATAAATTAATTTATTAATTAATTATCTTCAAAATCTGCAAAAAAATTAAAATTAAAAAAAAATCCCAACCTCCTTCATCCTCTCTTTCTATATATTCATTCACCATTCTCTCTTCCATCCCATATTCTCTCATGCCAACACAATTCATCTAGGTATGCTTTATTATTATTATTATCATCTATATTGTTACTAATGTTATTAAAAAAAATAATTGGTATGTTATGTTATGTTATTTGATTATGGTGGTACAAGAATTATGCACTGATTATTCAATCAACGAAAAGTACCTTGGTTGTTACTTGTTGTTGTTGTTGGGTTTTCTTTCCCATTTGTGCATGTTTTCGTTCGGTCCTTTTAATTGAAGCCACGTATTTGCTTTGTGTAGTTCCATGTTTAATTCATGGTTTTGTTCGTTGGTACTAGATAAAAAATGTTGGGAGAGAGGGTGTAAGGAACCAATCATTACTCTTACTTGTAATCAAAGAAAATTTTCAGAGCGGAAATTGAGCCTAATGGTGTCTGAGCATATATTTGGGGTTATGACCAGTGGAGATTCCACAGCACATGATGACAATAATTTTTTGAAAGAAAAAAAAAATTAGTGTAGGTGTAGCTCTAGTGGAATTTCAGATGGGTGCTTAATGGTGAAATTGAATCCCATAAGCTTCTTTCTGGTTTGTGAGGGTAATGTTTCATGTGTTGAAATTTATTGTTATGAAGCTGGTTAGGTTTTGTTAGGGGTTTGGCAAAGCATATGATGTTTTAAGAATTTAGGATTGTGCTATTGTATGGTTATAAGTTATAACTTATAAATGTCGCAAGTGATATTGAACATGGTTCTCTGCTTTTGACATGTTTCAGGGGGTGATCATTTGGCCATTCACTGATATTTAAACACTTGTTGTATGCTCAATGAGCGCAAACCTCAAAAGATATTGAGTACTATGGGAATTCCCATACGAAGGTGTGACATGATTGCATTTTCATGGCATGAATTGAGTTGCTCTCCCTGCAAGAGAAAGAGCAAAAAAATTTGCAATATACCTGATATGTATAATTTTTTTTTTCTTATTCTGGATGCAGTGGAAATACAAGAAAACAAAATGAAACAATGAGGCTCGCCATAGCAGCATTTGCTGGAATTATTGCTGGCTTCTTTGTGGGAGTATCATTTCCAACACTATCGTTGATTAGGGTGAATAATCTTTCCTCCATATCCTTAAATTCCTCTTTGCACAGCATGTGAAGGGAGAAGTAACCTAACTAACACATGAATTTTTGTCCCATGTTATTAATTGACAGATGAATCTTCCATCCAGCCTTTTACCATCCATTGATCTCACTTATGTTGATGAAAATTACTCGAAAATTTCAACCAGGTCTTTATGGAATTCCTGGTCTTCAATTAGGAGTGATAGAAGCACGTACAATGAGCCTCACAATTTAAATGAGACAAAGGTATGGTTTTTATAGTTTTTTAATATTTCATCACATCTCATTAATTTTTCACTTCATTTTATTATAAGGTTGGTCTTGTCCATTCTATTTCATAATATTGAGGTATTTAACCCGAATCCTGATTAAAAAAAAAAAGACTAAATAAACAAATAAAACTTGAGATAGTTTTCTAGAATCCCCTGCTTACAATTATTGATTGAGGAGAAAATTGTGGATTGATGGAAATTTGTCTAATTTCTTCAGAAACTTATAGAAAAAGCTTTAAGAAAAAGTTACTCTCAAGGTGAAAAGAATAACTTGATCAGCCTATTATGAATGTTTTAAGGAATTCATAATAGTTGGATCCTTTTCAGTTCTGTTTCTCAGTTTACCAAGATATAGTATGGCTACTTTATAAAAGGGATGATTAGTATTATGGCTCCCTCGCAGATATAATTTGAGAAAACAAATGTTAGAGACACTATTGTGCTTGGTAACTCTGCTTATTATTGGTTTAATCACTGTTATAATGAAAATGATGATGGTTTATAATGCAATTACCGGTTGAAATATGCCATTCGAAACTAATTACTATCGTGCAAACTAATTTTTAGTTCATTTAATACTCAAAACAAAGTTTATATATGTTTTTTTCAGTTGATTTTTAAATATTGCTTTCCACTATTCTTAAGATGATAATCACTCGTTTACCTGATGCAAAAAGTGACTAGTTTTGGATAGGCAATTAGGCATTGTTGATCAGAGTTTTCAAAACTATTTACATTTTTGTCTGGCTGGTTAATGTGTAATCTTTATAACTCGCTTTCTAGATTCTTTAAAATTCCATTTGGTTGAGTGATACATTCTTACCAAATATTTAAATAATCTTTTGTCTCTTGTTTAATTTTTTCACAAGCTAGGATATATACATTTCTGTAATGCTATGCTTCTTGCCAGTAAACAACCATTGATTACCCTTTACAATCCTAGCCTCTTGCACTGAATAGATACATTTGATTTTGACGCAGATTTGGGTTTCTACAAATCCTCGAGGAGCTGAGATGCTTCCCCCAAGAATTGTCGAATCTCAATCAGATTTCTATCTTCACCGGTTATGGGGCATGCCCCATCAGGTGTGCATTTTCACTGGACCTTAATATAAAAGATGCATTTGAATAGACCATTATTTTTCACCGTAAAGGAAACTTGGTTAACAGTGTACGTGTCTACTATAGTGTCAAATTATTCAACCTTTTATTGAGAAAGTGAATTACATTCGTTTTGGGGGAGTGACTACCAAATATAACAAATATTTTGGTAGAGCAACAAGCATTGACTAATGGCTGGTCTAGTAAGCTTGAAGTTCACATATGAGCATTTGAAGAAACAATTTTGTGATATTAATGAACTCTTACAAAGATCAGCTGCATATACTAGCTTGTTGTATAACTAATGATTAATATTGGGTACAGTGAGACAGATATTCTCTGCATGCCAAAATAATTCATGCCCCTGATAAGGACAACAGGAATTTCTTAGATTTTTGTTATTACTGTAAGAGTTACAATTTTGTCTTGTCTAATCTGACTCTTTCCTTATGGAGGTGGCACTTGCAGGACCTAAGTATCAAACCGAAGTATCTTGTAACATTTACCGTTGGGTTAGATATGAAAGACAATATTGATGCTGCAATAAAAAAGGTCATTTCTGTTTTTGCCCTGCATCAATCTGTTCTTTGACTTGTCTACAGTCACTGATTGCCTTCTGCTTATTTTTCATATTGATTGATTTCTATTTGTTTAGCTCTTTATGTGACCCTTGGACTTTGTATTACAGTTCTCTGAAAACTTTACCATTGTGTTGTTTCACTACGATGGACGGGCTAGTGATTGGGATAAGTTTGAATGGTCAAAACGAGCAATTCATATCAGTGCCAGGAAACAAACTAAATGGTTGGTAGTGAATCTTCTATGGATTTTTTACTCCATTTTGTAAATTGTAACAATTTTGATACGGTCACTTATTCATATGGAATCCATAAAATTCTGTTCAAGGTGGTTCGCCAAACGCTTTCTGCACCCTGACATTGTGGCTCCTTATGACTACATCTTCATTTGGGATGAGGATCTGGGTGTGGAGCATTTTGATGCAGAAGAGTGAGTATCTAAAGTCAAAACCAATCTTTATAGTGTGGGTATCAAGGTTCTGGTGAAAATTTTTCAAGCACTTGTCTCTTTGTTCCAGATACTTAAAATTGGTGAGGAAACATGGTTTGGAGATCTCACAGCCTGGTATAGACCCAAGTAGTAGTTTTACTTGGCAGATGACAAAGAAAAGAGATGGTCTTGAAGTCCATAAGTAAGTGAGAAAGTGAATAACTTTCTTATAAGTTTTAGTTGTGTATTATATGTTTTCACTTTTTAATCATCATCAAGAAGAAGAACAAAGCCTATTCATGTTGTGTGCCACCGGTTACATGTATCAAAATATGCCCTTGTGCAATTGTGCTAAAAAATCAAAATTTTGGAAAGGATATTTAGATGAAGATCTTTTTTATTGGTTTATTTTGGAAATCTCCTGTCTTCTACCTCTGATTATCAGGATTTGCTCCATTAAACAATTATTTCTGTTTAGTCACTTTTGTAATTATTTCATCTTCTAGATTAAACTATATTCTGTCAATCTCTTGCAGGAAAGCTGAGGAAAGAAGTGGTTGGTGTCCTGATCCACATTTGCCACCATGTGCTGCGTAAGCAAATGAGAACTTCTAAAGGATTCAGTGAATGTTTGGTTTAGCTTATTTTTGTAGAAAAAATTACTTAATTTTGTCAAAACCAATATTTAAAAAAAAAAAAATAAGATTATTCCCCCCAAATGTGCACCATAACATGAACCTTCATTCGTTTGTCTTGTGGGCTTCAAAAGAGGTCATATCATATGTATCTCACGCAGCTTTGATGTTTGAAATGCTCAGATTTGTAGAGATCATGGCCCCTGTATTTACCAGAGATGCATGGCGTTGTGTGTGGCATATGATACAGGTTGAGGGCTCATTTGTGTCTCCTATTTTTGTTTTCACCACATAATTCAATTCATACCTAACTCTTTTTTTCACATGCCACCTTGCAGAACGACCTAGTTCATGGATGGGGTCTTGATTTCGTTCTCAGAAGATGTGTGGAGGTTAGTAATTTATCTTTCTTTGTAAGTATAGTACCCATTTTGCCACGATTGAACCTAATGAAATTTATTGTTTCAATTGGATGCAGCCTGCTCACGAGAAAATAGGAGTGGTTGACACTCAGTGGATTGTCCACCAAAGTGTTCCAACACTTGGCAACCAGGTAAATGAAGCTTAAAATATTTTTAATCAAGGGAATATCTGAAAGAACTAATAAACTTATTTAAACTTATTCTATCATATAAACACGCGAGATAAACATTAGAGGTGTTAGGGTAAGCTATAGAGGTAACTTGTAGAATTTAATTCTTATAAAGTGAAGATGTATACATTTGCTTTTACAAGTATTATTAGAAAATTGAAAGAAAATTATATATATATATATATATATATATATATATATA